TCAAATTATTACTTAACGGTTGAAAGAAGACAACCGAAAACCTTTCAAACGATTCTTATACCCTAATTAATAGCCCAAATTATAGACGAATAGCCTTCCTTTCATTGCTAAATGATATTTGATAAACGACATTGTTGCTTAAATTTCATTCCTTTTTTTTGTATTTTATTTACTTATGTAAAGCTTCTTTTGTAAATGTGGGCACTTTTAAATGTTGAAGTAACTTTCTTTTGTTGAAAATATTTCCGCGTTCTATAAATAATGATACAAATTATTTTGTATCTTAGGGACATTTTTGTACCTTAAACTTTTGTATCTTACAAATGCTCTCGCATCCCACATATGTGGTTGTATCTTTCGGATATGTTTGTATCTGTAAGATACTATGTGTAGATACATATCTACCTTACCAACACTTTTTATCATAAAATATACTTAAAGATTCCTTTTCATCTTGAATATTGTTTTCTAACTTAAAGATACTTTTTTAGCTTATAGCTAATTTTTTATTTCACAGTTACATTTCTATGTTACACTGAATAAATTTTTCCCTTTGCTTAAAAGTAAAATGCTGGAAGTTACCGATTACTGGTTAATTCCGTGCAGTCGCATTATCCAAGCCCTAATTGACACCCACAGTTAAAATTAATTTTTACGAGTCCCTGGGCAGCGTTGAAAAGATTAGTACCCCAATATAATTTAAAGCAAATGTTGAAGGCTTTCATGCTATATATGTTTTAGGAGCGCGCCGCATGCTCTTGTCGAACTTTGACTGCAGCAAACAGCAAAGAGCATCAAATGGCAGCAACAAGCAGCTGATGCATTTTTTATGTTCAAACATTACAAGCACATTTCATGTTGTGCGTCTGTATGTGTATATGTGTGCGCGCAGCTATTACCACTTATTTGCTCTGAATTTTACGAGCATTTAAATACAATGTAAATGAAACGACGAGTGAACTGAAAGCAAAAGCAGATGCAAAGAGAAAACTTGGCCGAGACTTGTTAAGAAGGAGGTTTAGGTTTAGGGTGCAAATTTCATGTAACCAAAGTTGATTTAACAGATATATAATGCTCTCTTCATTAGTTGCGAATACCAAGCCAGCTTCCTCACACCGCGACTAATTAGAGCGCGCGTCTAACTATGCTAATTAGTCAGGCTGCAATCCGCTGGCAACATTCATAATGAAAGGCGCTATGCGTGCACCTCTGGCAACAGCATTTTTAATTATATTAAATACAGCTAACGCCCCTACCACATCACCATACGGGGCGTGGCACAGCTCGTGCGAGCACTCATTATGCCAAATTGGCCACTTTTATTGGCCAGTTGTGTCCAGATGTTAAAATGAATGCCACAATGAGCCGCAACAAGGCATGAGAGCATGAGCGATTGGGAGATTGTTAACATGCCACTCATAGCAATTACTTAATAAAAATGTAGTACTATTTGCAAATTATTGCAGCACACAATGTACACATGGGTTCATGGGTCAATATGGCAAACATGGCAAAACACACACATCACACACACTTGCACCCGCATCAGCTTATTCTGCTCGTATCACGCATAGCTTGCCCGGGGCAAAGTTTTCCATATTTAAGCATCAAATAGAATTTATGTGGCATGTGCAACAGCAGCCGCAGCCATAGCAACAACAACAACAGGGGCATCGCCCATGCGCCATGAAAAAGATTTACAAAATTAGGTGCAGATTTTACGGAGTGCAGCAAAATATACGAATATGTACAAAATACAAAAATCATAAATAATTCAAATAATAAACTTAAAGCTTGAAAAGTTTTTCCATAGAAACTAAACGAAATTTAAAATGAGTATCACATCATATTTATGTAAATCAGATTACTTAAATATTTACTCAGATTTAAATATTTTTTATAAATATTTTTAAAACGTTCGCTCATTCAAACCAATTATAACTCAAAGATGTATTATGAATATATCTTTCAATTTGAATAACACATTTTTAAACCGTATTAAAGCCTTTTTTTTCATTTAAGCCAAGAACGTTTGCTCTGAGTAGCTAGAATTAATCGAATACTTTAAATACCAGCAAGGACATAAACTGAAATATAACGACTTTGCTTGGCTCATTTCGTATGCTAATGGCAACTGGCATGAAGTATTTTTCTTTGGCAGGCAGCACTTGCAAATGTCAATCCTTTTTATCCACTGTACGAGCTCATTCCGAAATGTACAACAGTTGGTTCATTAATTTTTGAGCACTGTTTTCGCCTTGCTCTTGACTTCAGCACAATGCTTGTAGGACCCAACCCAAAACGCCGTCAAAATCACAAAATTCTTTGGCACTCGACATGGCTAACATACGCTGCAGCTGCCTGCCCTCCAGTCAACTACTTGGCAGACACTTTTTGTTTGTTTTTGTTTTACTTTTATACTCTGTAAAACTTCAATTGGCTGCATGAAGATATAATATGTACAGTTGTGCATGAATAAATCCTTGTCTTAACTTCACTATTGTTTACTAGTCCATTTAAATTTCCAATGGATTTGGGCTAACTGGTTATAGGGTATCTTCTGATCGGGATATTCTAACTTTTTAGAGTGTATCTAAACTCCACCATTTGTAACTTGTCCATTTGAATTTCCAATAGAATACCCTGGTTGTAGGGTATCTTCTGGTCTGGTCTTCTGTTCTTCTAATTTTTGACAATGTACAGGGTAACTTCTGGTCTTAACTAGAAGCCATATACATTTGCTAAGATTCGGATTACCTCCGACCTGGTTACTTACAGCGTAACTCCTAGTCTGAATAATTATATTTTATTTCGAACATTTCGATTAAAGAGCATCCTGTAGTCGATTGTTTTAATATTTTCAATCTTACTTGTTTTTATGCTGTTTGTGTACTTAATTTGTGCATATTATGTATACGCCGTGCTGCTGTTTTGCTGTTTTCTCTCCCTCCCACTCTCTCAATCTCCCCTCTCTCTCTCTCTTTTTCCTTCTATTTTCCCTTTCGTTCTCTTTCCACATATTGTTTGCTTTTTGTCTGCCTGTAGCTGGAAGCAGAAACCGCAGAAACTTGAACTTAAATTTTTTGTGCTCTGCCCTTGTGGCTGTAGTAGTCAAACATTTTCCAGGCAGCTGCAGCTGATGTTCTGCTGCTGGGTGCAGGACGGCAAAGATGCGCGGGGTGTTCATTTCAGTTCAGTTGTTTGCTAATTTAACTGCATGCCACAGCAGCGAGTAAATATTGATTTTGTTGTCAACTGTGCAAAAAAGGGAGTAAAACATGGTTGGGGTCTGAGTTGTGGTTTGAACAGATGAATTAAGCCGCAGGCGAAGCACCTTCCTCTGCAATTGCTCAGATAAATTCTGGCTAGCCACATGACGGATGGGGATTTGCGGCAGGCCAGGCTGAGCAATGTAAATCCAATTCGCTTCCATTTGTGCTACGCGTCACTTGCATGCCACGCCCACACCTATCATACACACACGCACAACACAATTGAGCTCTGCTGACACTGCGAATGACAGGACAATACAAAAGACGCAATATGCAATACGCATACACAATGCAGGTGGCTGTCGCTTGAAACCAAAACGGAAATGAAAACGGAAACGTTGAAAACTCAAACTGATTGCATTCTGCACCCACACGTACACACACACACACACAGTCTGAAAAGCCGCTGAGCTTGGATTTGCGACCAGCTTTGCATACGTGATTCGCATAAATGGTTTTGCCACGCCTACCGGGCTCAAACCGCCTTTAATTTTCTATTAACACTTTATAGCGCCAAGGCAGTCTCCAATCTCTGTCTTTCTGCAGACAAACTTATTTTTATACAAGTAAAAAACCTAACTTTAAGCGCCATTGTCACAGGTCACGAAAGCATTTGCTCAGCTGTTTGGTCAATACTCAATTACCACACCTGCCACGCCCAACGCCTGCCTCGCCAAGCCAGACACAGGCGAAAGGTTAAGCTGCACAAATCTGTCACCTCACGCTGACGTCTGCCTTTTAGTATTTTATTTTGCTTTTTATTTGCACTCGTTTTGTGCGTCTTTTATTTATTTGTGGGCCGGGGCAAGCATTAAATGTTGCGTGAAAAGCGCGTGAAAAGCAAATGAATGGCAGAAAAAATTAACTTGGGGAAAATGTTTTCTCGACATTCGCTTTGACAACATCATTTGCACATCTCACTGAGCCGCATCAATAATTCAGTCGATAATTTAATATGCCCTGTACACAGTCAATCTATATATAGCAACGGGCATATTAACTTGTTCCATTTAAGGTATATTTTGATCTTTATAAAGTGTATTCGATGTAGCCATTTTTGGTTAACTGTTTAATGGGTCTTTTGCAGCGACGATTAGAGCTGGAGTCCCTTGTAAGCCCTGTTCATATAACATTCATGTTCATTGATTCATATTTAGAATTCCTCTTAACGCCCAATTAAAGTTAATTGAAAACGTTTCAAAATTTTTTTTAGACCTGCCTACAGGGTATCTACAAGCAGAGCACTCTTAAATATAGCAATCTTGTTATTTTTCGTTTTTGTACTTTGCTTTCGCCTGAAACGACAGCAATTGGCTTTTAATGTTATATGCAACTTTTTTGCTTTTTACCTGAATAAATCAACAATTTGCTGACCAACTAGCGAAAAATTCCAATTAATATGGAAATATTAATGTGAATCCTTTACCAGTTGTGCAAATAGATTTTTTTTACCACAAATACTTAGTAATGTGCTTGTTCTTAGTTATCAAGCTAGTTTCAATAAACATGCCAAATTTTTAGAATTAAAAAAGAAATATCTAAAAAAAAAAGAATATTCTAAGCTCTAATTTAATGAGATATTGAAACTTCATTGTAAGCTACATTCATTTTTGGACATTTAAAAGAGCTTATCACGGAAAGATAAGATTCAGAATACGACTTAAAGAACGCATAAATAAAATAAATGAAGATTCAACTCATCTAACATATTAACCCGAAACTTCACAGAAAGATGTTTAATCAAAGGCCAAGCTCACTATTCCCAACTCTGGTGTAAGGACAGCAGATGCCTACCGATTCGACTGGCTACAATAAAAGTGAACAAGGACATTTAACCTATTGTATTTGCCGGTAAAAGCTTTCGATAGTTAAAAGTTATGCAGATGGAATTTCAAGCCAGGAATATTTACATTTAATTGAATGTTTTGCTTATCAAAATGCCTGTGACATCCATTTGACAGCTATTTGGTTACACATACGATTCGTTCGATTCGAAAATCGGTCGGTTGTCGCCCTATAAAACTGTCATAACATTACCGAAATTCAAGACCAGCACATTTTATTAAATTGCCCGGAGAATAGCATTGATTACAGGTCAGTTCCCCAGCTGCAAATTAAATTCTAGTTGAAAAGCTAATGTTACGTGTTTAGCATTTGAAATGCCGCAGACGAAAGCGCAGTTCAATTGAAATGCCGTAAAATGGCAGATGGGTCCGTATTGAAGTAAATAAGCCGCGAAACGAAACAAACAGAATATCTAATTATAAAGATAATTTGCTAGTCATGGCAAAGGATTTCTATTTGCTGGACAATTCACGAGAGGACGTGTACAATTTTACTCTAATAAGTCACGAGCACGAAAAACAAATGTCGCAGCATATATATGTCAGAACTGTCATATCTATCGGATTTAAAGTTTGTCAACTTACATACTTATTAACCAAAATAATTTGTTATAAATATTTAAATTGTTTTTTTTTTTTTGTTGTTTATAAGCTATATATGAATTAACTAATATCCCAATACACAAATTTTAAAATACCAAAGTATTTGAACTGCCGATTTCCTTATTTTTAGATCGGCGCTCAGAGACTTATGCCACGAAGGCTTTGACATTTGATATTTGGCATATATTTAAGCGTTCAGTCGACTGATTTTTTAAACGACCTCAATTTAGACCTACTTTCAAGTCGAATTTTATTTCACCCCCCCACTTTAACCCAAGTGGATGGTCCTATACAAATTTCAGCTTGCTAGCCCCCACCGTTTAGGCCTTGCTGTGATCAACAAACAGTCAGTCAATCAATATATTTCAATTGGAGTGAATGTGACTAACCAAGTTCTGAATTCATGAATATGTAAAGCCAGTTTCACGAAACGAACTAAGGTTCGTTGCCACACACCACGAACCATTGACAATTTGTAAAGAATCGCAGCCAAGAATTGAGCTGCTTTCTTGTTTTTGCATATTTAGAATTTTAATACTATGAGAAATCGATTTATCTTAACACAAGCTGTCGTGCTTTACATGTCACGACAATTATCGAAATCTGCGCCAGCACCCTGCCACAGTCAAACCACGTAATTTGCTTTTATGACGCACATTTTCAATTACTCGAAGTGCCACACACAGACCACAAGAAAATTGCCTTTGAGCCTTATTTAGCTTATAAACAAAACGAAAGACATGCGCATTGCTCTAAAATCGAAGTGGTGATAAATGCTTTTGCGGCAGCGTGAAATAGAATTCCATGGTCGTTTCTCAAATGCAAAAGGTTGCTGCTGCTACAAATACCTGAAGCGTCAAAGCGATAAGCGCCCGCCCCGCCCAGCCCACTAATCGCCCGAGCCTTTGTTCAATTTGATGTTGGAATTTTGTAGGGCCCTTTGTGCCCGCTTTATGCTGACTGTGGAACTCACATAGGTCATTTTATTGTCGCTGGCAAATCTGTGTGTGCCCTGCATATTTATTATGTTATGCAAATGCCAAAAGGCACCAAATAGGCTCCTGAGGCCAGGCAAAATGCTTATTTATTTATTTACATTTCAGTGTCTACAACATGAGGATGACATTGTCCAAAAAATAAATATTCTTAACTGCGCACTTTGTACGCATCTTTTAATATGCAGCAGCAGAGTTGAAAGTTCGAAGGGATTGTGACCATATTTGTGGGTCCCGTTACAGCACATATGTATATACATATATATCAAAAGAAAGTCAACCTTTTTGGCTTTTGCCATTTATTTCCCATTGATTAGGGCCAAAGTTAAAGACTTGAGCCTTTGTATCAAATTGCGCTTTTGGTTTGACAGGCGAGTGAGACGAATCAAAACCCACCCAACTTATGGGCTTGTTAGTGGCCTGTTTGATATCCAAGCGGGTTGTCGGAATAAGCCTGGGCACTGTTTGTCATTTAAAATGCAAAAAAGAATTTCTAATGAATAACTCGAACAGTGCCTGCAGCCAGTGTGTTGATATTTCGACAAAATTCGCATTATTCAGTTCACTTGCAATTAAGTCAAGTGCACAGAGCATGTTCCAAAAGATAGCAACCACCATTCGGAAGCCCGACTAGCAGATACCCTGCAACTAGTTGTGAAAAACTCTAAATCATAGCTGACTTGGAGCCCTGGGACAGAAGCATATCGTAGGTCTCAACATTATGTTTGATTTAATTGTTGATTCGTTTTATATTGCTGCTATTTAAAATTAACAATATGAACTAAGGCAATCGATTTAGGAGTAAAATATTAGCAGTTGCCTGATTTATAGCTGGTATCACAATGTTGGTGTATCCTTTTCTGACCCGATTTATAGCCATAGTGTATCAAAACAACATTGAACCACAAACAGAGTTGTCCATCAAATCAATCGATATGCGCAGCTCGCCCACTTGATACATCCACATCACAGTTTAAATTAATTGATTTTGCCCCACACAAGCTCGTTCACACACACACACGCACACAACCATGTGTTTCAATCGCAATCAATCTAAAAATTGGAGAACTAAAAAGTTTGCATCCTGAGACACAGCAGCCGCAGGAGGAGACGCACTGGGCAAAAGCAGAGAGTGCAAAATGCATTTTGAGTGCTTCCATTTCCCTCGGGCACCGGCAATTGATGCAATAAATTCTATTGACATTGACTCTTGTTGCAAGTGCACACAGTTTGCAACTGCCGTGAGCACCTGCTAGAAAGCAGCAGCCATTGAAAAACTTTAAGATGACTGGCCTTTTAATGTGCATTTTAAAGACGAATTCCAAAGAAGTGACTTTTGAGTTGATTAAAGTTAGGTTAGTTTTAAATGGCACTAAAAATTAATCTTACTAGCTGCTGGTTAACACCCTTGCGGCTGAGCTCTTAAGCCGCTTACAAGGAGCGAAAAATCGTATCCTACTTTTCAGCGCACACAATTTTAAGCTTTTTTTCTTACCGTTGGGCGCCGCAACGAGTATCCGTGTGTGGGGACCTCAATTGTTTTTGCGCATTTTACAAAAGGTAATAAAGAAACTATATATAACGAAAGAAATAAAAATAATATTATATGTATGGGGTTTTGTCTAGGAACTTTGCACTCCAAACAAAATAAAAAAAATTCGCTGCAGAATGATAACAATAACGTCACGCATATTCCCACCCCAGCCACAGTCCCAGCCGTAACCCCTGCCGAACTCTGGGCGCACTGCGTTGTTTAGGTGCAGCATGCCAGCTAAAAGTAAGAGTTTCCCCGGGGATAAGGTGTAAGCATTCGTTTTGCCAGATATATTGTACGTGCGTCCACAACATGAACTCATAAATATGTATTGATTTTCCATTCGCCAATTTCTTTTCATCTTACAACACACATACGCGAGCACACACACACACACGCATTGTAAGTGCTTTCACGTGCTGAGCCAACAGCGCATAGCATGTGAAATTGAACGCTGCGTGAAATGGCAGACAATGGAAAATGCGACAGAGTTATGATTATGAAAACTTTTTAAGCTGCAAAAACAAAAAAACAGAAAATAAAAATAAACGAAAAAGAAATCCCGCAGCAAATTGCACACATATGTAAATGCAAAATAAATACGTGAGACTTACCGCAATTTGTGACGCATTGCCGAGTCAGTGAACTGCATAAATGTTATTAGTTAAAGATTTATACGATTTCTTGTCAGCAATCTATTGTTTCCTTTCCGTGGCCCCCCATAAATGGCAAATTGCAGAGGAACATGCAAGCCAAAATGCAGAAGGTTAGGTGCAACATAGCTGCAGCCGGCTGCGCAATACTCTGTTCGCAGTCCAGTAAAAGATTGAATCAGTCGGAAGGAGTTGTCTTGAGTATAGAGGTTATTAACCAAGGCAGTGACTCTTAAGCTGTGACTTTGCCAACAATCGCTTTTGTTTAACAGATTAAATGTGTCTTTAACAACCACATTTAAAAGTAAATTTAGTTTCCATAGGAACTAAATTTAAAAAGATTTTATAGACATAAACTCTTAATTTCTGAGTTTGGTGAAGATAACAGGAGAGATGTTCATCATAAAACTAATTCGTCTTATACAGATATATAATGCAGATATATAATATATGTCGGTATCCGATTGTAATAGGACTTTTATATATTTAAGAATGTTCTTACAATTTCATTAAAGCAGAGTTTGGTAAAGTTAACTTTAATATATTAAACTTTAATATTTTTTGCCAAGATCCATGTTTATATGACATTTTTTTATCTGGCCAACATTTTGTCATTTAAAAAAGCTATTTTAGGCAAGAACGTAATTTTGACGGATCGTTTTAATGACAGCTCTATGTTTTGGTAGTCAGATGCTAGATTCTTAATATAAGAACTTAAGTTTCGATGATACAGTCGGATCTATGCAAAGTTTTAAGATGGCAGCTCTTGAGCTGGAAGGCTTGTTTACATAGAAAGTGAGAGACTTAATAGTCTACAACGTTCCCGCGAATACTGATTAAAATATATGTATATGCTTTACAAGCTCGGAGACCTTTCCTTCTAGGCGTGTTGCAGTTTATGACTAAATTATAATATAATTTCAATAACAAATATTTACGTAAGGGAAACCAAACCACAGATGGTACTTTGTGCACTTTTGATAGAATGTGCGTAATCAAAGGAAGACACGTCTACAACACGACTTCATTAATTTAACACTCTGCGAAACAAACATTCATTTGTGTACATTTGTATATATTGTGCTCATGCTATTATATTCGCTTACATATGATTCCACTAAATTGATATGAGTTGTGTGCACTTGCCAAAAGCGCTCATAACAAATTGGTTAAATGTGCGGAAATTTGTCAAGCTTGCAAAACCAGCTTCTCAAACTGCTGCAGACTCCTCTAGAATTAATACATATAAAACTGTTTGTCCTAGCCGACTGACTGATTGATCAAGCTGCCTTTTGGGTCGAAAATAAGGAGTTGTTTTGTAAAATTCGAACTGTAAGTGGGGTCAAACATTGTGATTCAAACTCAACAGCCATTGTCATTTTTTCGAATTATTTTTGAAAATTGCAGCAAAGAAACAAAAGGTTAATGGATGCTTGTTTTAAGGTGGAAGCAAAACAGAAACTGCGAAATTATTAATTGCAGATACAATGGCATTGATAACTATTTAAGAGAATATATATATATATAAATCGATGTACAAAATAAGCATCTCAATAGTGTTACACATACATAGCATGTTCTTAAGCTTAAATCTTGCTACTGTAAGAAAAAGTTCTTCAGTTTTAATACACATCAATTATATATATATACATATGTACAAGTGTGCAGTTAATGTCATGTGCATCTTTTACATACCACACGGCATCACACATCAAACAGTTGTGCAGACCCAGTTCTCAATTCTGTTATCGAAATTTCCATCTGAAATAGTATGCCTCATTGAACCCAGATTGAAATTTATATAGAAATGGATTCAATCTTAAAAAAGTTATAGTTTAGTGTTAAAGCCACAAACGTCGAAACTCGATAAATTAAAATACGGTTGCATTATACATTTAGATAATTGTGTAAGCTATGGATTATTTACAATCTGATTACAATTTCTATGATACTCAATAAATGAATCACTCGCCAACTGGACTCTCGGCTAAGGCCCATGCAATTAAAAGTGGGCAAATCGAAAGCTGGCCGCAAAATGCAGCCGGCAATTCGAGGCTGTCAGTTGTGGGGCTTATGTCGGGCCGCAAAACGCGGCCCAGTTCAACAATTAGCGGTATTTGCAATACGGGCACAGGCGAAAGCCCTACCCGCAAACTGGAGCCAATTAAAAAAGCGGGCATTGATTTGTAGGTTGGTTTAGGGCACTGAATTGACATTTGTAATTTCATAAAAGCGGAGCAGCTGCAGCGGCTTAAAGGGGATTAAAAACTTCCCCGGTCGCTAATGCCCATTACCTAATTGCAAAGTACTCGGCGAAAACCCTCTTCAAAAAGGGGTTCTTAATTGTTTTTAATTTGCGCAAAGACAATGGCAAATTAAAATTCACAACGGCTGGCTCATAAACAGGTTTAATTATTCAAACGAACCTTGAAGAGTATTTTTACATAAGCTACCTTTTGAAAGAATTCATTTCAGAATTTATTTGCTTTTAGATTTGTGAAATCCAGATTAAACAGTTTGTGCATTTACCACATATGACAGCATAATGCTGCTAAGAACAAAGTCTGGAATAATTTTACAAGACATAAGTCTGTCTGATCCTATGCTAGGCTGCAAAGCAAAACTGTTCGAAAAACAAATCAATAATTATTAATAGTTAAGATTATCAACCGAACCGTAAGCCAAGCCAATACCTTTTTTCTTGGATATAGATCAAATTTAGGCTCATCTTATATACGAAATTATGAACAATGCTACATTCTTTTTATCAGAAAAAAACGCGAAATTCTTAGCTAATTAAATTGTTTCATTAAAATTTGAAAAAATGTGTGTCAAGCAAAGGTTTGAACCAACAAATAAGCAAGAGCTGTGAATGATTAGGGTAAATACCCACACATAATGGCAAAAAATTACTTCGCAGACCCCATCCTCTCCATTTTTATTGCTCTAACAGTCTTATCTGCATAATAAATCGTCAGCTTTGCCATAAAAATTAAAGAAAAACTACAAAAGGGGCTCGCAACGTCTTATTTAAAACACGCAACTGGAACTCGAACTGAGAAAGGGTATTCATATTTTAACTCTTAAGCAGGTGGAAAGCTATTAGTTGACCAGTTCTTGGCCACTTTTTGGGCTTGTGTCCCTTTTAGCCATTTCATTCCGTAATAATTAAGGCCAACAAAAACGAGCTTAGGCACGTACTGAGCTTAAGAAATTGCTTTTTTCGACCGCTTCTTCCGACACTTGACTCGACGTCGTCCTTGTCCTTTTATTGTTTTACTTTTACTTTATACCCTGAGCCCATTGAAAATGGTTGAAAAGGGTATAAAGGTTTTTTTTTGGCCAGCATCAAAAATCGAGTCGATTTCGCCTTGGCCGTCTGTGCACCTGTGGAAATGCGTCCATCTCGGAAACTTAAAGGAATAGAGGCAAACCTAATTAAACATTGTTATCGGAATCTCCTTTAATTTATATTATATCAATTAATATTTATTTTATGACATGCTTTTCTAGCATGTCTCGAAAATGTTAATAGCTAAATGAACGCGAATCGACATGTAAGTTGCCATCTGGTTTGAATATATTTCACTTTTTGGATCTGATTCTGGCAAAGTATAAGATATTTTAATCACTCCAACAAGGAACGCCATGAATGTCGCTGTTCTCACATTTATTCAGCCTCATTTTGCATTTCGACTTTTTATGACCTCTCCTTAAAAAATAGCCAAAAATATTGGAGCCGCACCCAATTTGCCCCCAAAAATTGCAATAAATGTGAAAACTGCCTTTAGGATAACAGACCACACTTCACCATTTGAAGTCTCTTGACGTCCAACTATTATGACACTTGGAACAGGGTATTGCACAGTCGTTCGTAAACGACTGCAGCGTTCTCCTATGGCTTTTGTGCAAATTTCCTTTGCCATTTCGACTGTTTTCTGTTACAAAAGCCATGTACAAAACGTTGCCTACAAACATTCGCTTTAGATGTTGCATGTTGCGCAACGACAAGTGGGATGCGAGACAATAGTTGCATGAACTTGTTTCACATCTGCAACACATTTTTGTTGCTTAAACACCGAGCAGAGCTCTTTTAAAGGCTCAACTAGACGCTGACCTCGTTTGCTAGGCGGACACACAATGGAAATAAATGGCGGAAAACTTTACAATTAGCTTTTCAACAATTTGGGGCAGTATACGTAGCGTATGCGTAATACGCATGCAGGCATAAGTCATTTAGTAAAGGACCTGGCAATTAATTCAGTCATACGCCGCCGTAGACACCGCACGAGCAACGCCGAAATATTTTCGTTGGGGCCACAAAATCCAAAACCCCAAAACCCAAAACCCACGAAACCCTAGAAAATAATTACAAAATTATTTTGGTTAACAATTTTAACCGCTGCACAAGTGCAAATTAAAGCAGCTGGAAAAAAAGTGCCCTTAAAATTATATATGCATATTTTATGCTCTGCCCAGCCCCACTCGCTAGGCTAGGGCATCGCAGCTGCGGTTGCCTCTACTCTGGAATGTGTCGAGCTGAAAACCAACAAAACGAAAATAATAAAAAAAAGGAAAAGCTTGAAAGCTGGCATCATGCTGGCCAAAGTATGCGCGGGTAGATTGTTTAATATTTCGCTTTTGTGGCTAATGTAACAAAAAAAAAAAAAAACCGTATTTCCATTTCTTTTTCTTCTTGCCTGAGATTTTTTTTCGCTGCTGGAACACAACACATAAATGACTTCTCGCAAGACTTTCCGCTGCTCCTGCTAAGCTGTATTCCAATAAAATACGAATTTCGGGAAGACGTTTTTTTTTTCATCATAATTTGAAGTGAAATTTGGTGCAGAAAATTAATTAAAATTAAAGCATCTTTAATATATAGCTAACTGGGAAGTTAATATATTATCCCATGCACAATTAATGTGTGTATACTAAACAGTAAGTATTTAACACAGTTTATCACGATTACTAACTCACTAGCTTGTCTTTATATAGCAACTTTAAGCTTAGACGAACTGGAATATTATAAAAAGATGTAGGCAAACAATAAAAGATAAAACTCTTCCCTTCAGTTTGACAAAGTTAAAATACCCATGCGATATAGACCCATGACATAAGACTCCAGAACCGCCACTTTCATCTCCGCTATATAATACCAATAAGATTCAGCTCCTAGTATTTTTATAATGTATATAAATTTTCCCCCACCGGGTCGGAGAATTCTCATCTCTATCTCTTTATCCTATCTACGTAGCACTCTATATAAGTGTACATTTCTTTACTTTATTAACAACTTCTTTCTTTCGTTTTTCCCTTCTTCTTAGCTATAATAGCTCCACTGGCAAAATAAGCCGTGAAAAGGGGCATAGCTGGCCGTACGGGCAAATAAAACACCTTCATTAGTCCTTGATGCAATTAGAAAATTATGTATTGAATAATTAGGAAGACACTCGTTTTTGTCGATCATTAATAAATAAATAACAATTTTTCATAATTTTATTATTATAAATAATTTTATTATTATAAATAATAATTTTAATATTATTTTTATGGCAGCAAAATATCCATCTTATTTAATGACTTTAATTTCATTTGTTTAAATTTTGTTAAAATATCCTGAAAGAGGAAAACGTTTCAAGCAAGAGCTAAAACTCGTTCTATAATTCCTATGATATTATATTATAGTGGTCCGATCCACCCGACTTTAATTTGTGTACTGAGTAAAATTTATTGTTCTATGTATAATATAGAAGAATATAGATAAACGAACAGATAGGGCTATTACAACTCAGCTATTGTCATTGATCAGGTATATATATACATACATATTCTTCGGACATTCCCGATTTAATTCATTACACAATTTGAATACCCTTTGCCATAACAGTTACTTTATTCCAACTTGAAAGCAGCTGGATTAACGATGTGCCCATAAAAGCTAAAAGTGATTTATCAGCAATAGTTGATTCACGTGTTTCCTACATTTAAATTGCAGTTATTTTCGCATTGCTTAAGCAATTAGAAATATAAATAAATCGTTCTGCTCGTCGAAATACTATGTAATTCAGATTCTAAATATTTGATTATTTTCATTATTTAAGCTATCATGACAAACAATTTCCATTGCAGTAGCGTGTGCGAGTTTGGCTGTTCATCTGCCTCTGAATAAAAATTCCCCCATAAATGATATAAAACCTGTTTCGGTTTATATACATATAGTAGCACCGATTTACCGGTAGCAGCTCATTTCGTATACTCAGCTTGATCGAGCTTGTTGACGATCCGAGTACAGAGCCGGTTTCGTGTCGCCTCAGTGAATTATTTCGAGGGCCGTTTTCGGAAATGGAATATGTTTAACAAGCGTAGCGATCCCAATTGTTATAAAACCAATTAATAAATATGTTTGATTTATATTATAAGTGAGAGCTCGAGATAAAAATTAATTAAATAATTTTGCAGAAGAGCGCAAAAATCTGTCAAGGTTAAAAAACAAAGAGTTTGATTGAATTTGTGATGAAATAAGTTAATGAATTTTTAGTACTTGTTTATTACTAAAATACAAATAAAATTAAGACAAATATAATTCCTTTCAAGTGCTTTGCCTAAAAATGGTTGAGAAAGTTTCCATATCAACGGCTGTCGATAAGCTGAAAAGTCTGCCATGGCGAGAACTATTCTACATGTTTTATGTAGAACCCGTTGTATTTATGCTTATATTTTCGCATCTACTGTCGGGTAAGCATTCATTTTTAAATAGGAATTGCATAAAACAGTGTCAAAAATTGCAGGCACTGTAATGCGTAATCAGATTATATATCAAACATGCCGGGTAATATTTCATTAC